ATCCTTAAACATCTCAAATTTCAAAAGTTGTCAATTATTTCCGAGGTATGCTGAAGTGTTGGTGCAAGGTGGATGGAGAATAATTTTCTAGCAAGTCTGGACTGCAGGAGGTTGTTTGGATCCGTAGGGCTCACCATGAGTTATGTTTCGATGATTTGAGTCGTTCATTTTGTCAAATACTTTACATATTTCATCTATAAAAAAAAATAAGTTGATTCAATAATTGTAACATGTTCAATTTATTATCTTTGTCATCAAAAAAAATTATAATTTATTTTTTAAAAACACAATTGTCTTCCATTTTTTTAGTGAAAAACACGGTAAATTGAACAAGTTACAATTATCAGATTGACCTAGTTTTTCTATGAATGAAATACACAAAGTGTCCAACAAAATGAACAGTTTAGATAATTAAAACGGAACCTTTGGTGTGCTACATGGGCCCAAACAACCCCATCTAGTCCAGATTTTGAATTATAGAGAATCCTCCTCGATCTCATTAATTTTGGGGTGATAGGGCCAGAAGTTTAATTTTCAAGCTTTTGGGGCAATTATCTCAACATTGCAAGGTCTGGGAAGTGAGATGTTACGCTGAAAACTTGTTTGAGTTTTAAATAAATAAAAAATAAATAAAGTGGAAAGGCAAGTTATAACTAGAGGATAGTAGACATGAGTTGGAAAATTTGTACACTGCTAAAATTTCACATAGCATATATACTGTGACTACACTATATATGCATAATGTCAAAGGTGTAATTTACAATGAAAGCTACAATATAAAAAAATAAAAAATAAAAATTTAAAAAAGGAAAGAAAAGAAAAGAAAGGGCAGTAGTGAACATGCATGCTGAATTGCTGATGATCATTTGAAGCCAAGTTACATTGCATAGTGTTGAATCTTTTTTGGGGAATCTTAATTTTGGGGTGAAATTTACAACGTGCACCCCTTTCCAAATCCTGGCTGCATCCTTATCCAAGATTCCCATCACCGCGGGGTCGCGGTTTGGCCCTGCCTCCTCCTTTTTTACCAGTAGCTGTTTTTCAGGATTTTAAACTCTTCCTCACCTATCTTGCCAAGATCAGCTTGAGGCCGTCCCATATTTTATAGAGAGAGAGAGAGAGAGAGAGAGAGAGTATATGTGGTTTGTATTGTGTTTTGGGTGCAAATAATTTGGTAACTTGATATGCTCTTATATACAGTGCATCTAAAATATTCTTAGTTGACAACATTTTACACTTTTGTTGGTTCTTATATATCCATAACGGATTCTGATCAAATGGCAAGTCCTTCCAAATTCCATAGAATATTTTTGCAGATTACAAACTGAGACAAAGAACCAAAAAAAAAAACTAATCAAACGCTTGGCTCACTTGGCCATAGTACTCATCCCCATTTTTATCCTAACTTCTACTTTACGCCAAAAGTTGTCTGTGTGAGATGGTTGATCTGTAGTTGTCAAAAGGAGAAGTTACTTAGTAGTTACACTTCCTAAAGGGATCCAACTCAAACTGGGTTCCAATAATTTGTTTTGGTGTATATTACACACGATTTTTCTACGCACGAAGAATAATTTGATCCTAAAATCAGATCTAATCTTTTTATGGGTTCGTTTGGGTGTGGGTTGGCTTTTTAATCTTTTGGCTATTTTAGCTTGGGCTAAAATGTCTCATTTGGGATGGGCTTTTTAGTTTTTTTTTATTTTTGTGAGAGAAAAAATAAAATAATTATGGTTTAAATGTAACATTTTGCCTTATTAATTTTTTAGTCTATTTTATTTTTCTTGTGTCTATTTTAGCCAAAAAAAATATCAAGTTTTTTCTTCCCAAACGAGCTCATATAAGAAAGTTGTTTATGATTCTATAATTAGATTTTATCCACTTAAACTTTTCTTTCACATACGATTAATGTCAATGATTTGAGCTTCTTATGTATATAGATTCATTTCTAAATAAATAAAAATAAGATTGATTGGTTAGTCATAAGTCACATCGCATAAGTTTATCAAATGAAAATTTTTAAACATACATAAAATTTATATAAAAAAATTTGATAAAAATGATGTGGCAATGTCATTATTGTAAATAAATTTATCTTTAATAGTATTTTGTTTTGAAATAAAAAGTTTACAATAAGCCACATCATTACCTATAAAAATTATATATTAATTTTTTATTTGTATACTATTATCAAATTTATCTTTTAAAAAAATGTTGTTATTTTTTGAAAATTGTGCTTATGGTTCGTTTTTTGTAAAATAACTCTGGTCTAATCATATAATTAAGATTATTACATTAATCTCATAATTTTTATGAATTATCTAGGCACACATTGGCATTGACCCTTGTGGGGTGAATCCGCCGAAGCAAACATCGTGGGTTATTGTCTCTCCCAATTGGAGAGGAGTTGGAGCAGTCAAATTTTGGAGATAAACTTGCACAACTTTAAATATCGACTTGTTGGATTCAACAAATTTAGTTGAATGAGACCGACAAAAAGGTTGGCCAGAGCATGCTTCCATCATAAATAATATCACTCTAATAAGAAAATGATAGATATTCTTCCATAGAATTTATACAAAAAAATTTACAAGAATTATGTGAAAATATTATTTTTATAAATAAATTCATCTTTATGAGAGTTTTGTTTTAAAATGAAATATCACTACAAGAATTTACACATTTTGCGACCACTTTTGCCGACCAAAAAAATTTTGGTCGCAAAAAAATGACGTTTGGCGACCAAATATTAATTAGTCGCGAATGATCATTAATTTTGGCGACCAAATATTATTGGTCGCAGAAGGTTATATTTTGGCGACCAAAAAATGAGTTGGTCGCAGAAAGTGGTATGCTTTTGCCGACCAACTACAAATTTGGTCGCGGAATGTCACATATTTTTTGGCGACCAAAAATTTGGTCGCCAAAAACTTATTTTCAGCAACTAAAAAAAATTAGTCGCCAAATATTTCACATTTAGCGACTAATATTTTAGTTGCCGTTGATTGAGATTGAGCGACTAAAAAAGTTTGTCGGCGAAGGTACATTTTCTGCAACTAATATGGTCTTTGGTCGCCAAAAGTTTGGGAGGGAAATTTGAAACGTGGCGGTGGAATTGAAAGCCCTTGCTCCCAAGATCAACAAATAAAAAAAATCAAAGCCCTGACTCTCAAGATCAATCTATAGCCAATGGTTCTAATCATAAAGGAACAGCAAAGAACGCCATTAGTGGCATGGGTTAGTGAGAGAAGCTCTTCCATTCTCTGGAATTCCTAAAATTCTACGGTTTCAATAGCTCATTGATGTCGATGGAGTCTCCACAGTTTACCAAAGGGGTTTCGTCTAGGGCTAAGGATGTAGTTAGGGATTCGAAATCACCAGCGTTATTTGGTTTGGGGCAAACTGAATCGGGGTTTGAGCTTAAAGCAAGGGGAATCGAAAATATCCTCTGAGGAGGTTCCTTCGATTAGTGTTAACAGATTAACGATGGGGGTTGAAGGGAGTCTTAGCCCTAGTTCGAGGTCGTTCCACTACAACAAAAAAGGTCTATGGTGACGAAAACGCATGACGAAAAAATATTTCGTCTCCAAATATGCATGTTTTAGTGATGAAAATAAGATTTCGTCTCCAATTGTATTATTTTTAGAGACGAAAATCAAATTTCGTCACCAAATGCTTAAAATCAAACAAAACAATAGGTGACGAAAATTTTATTCGTCTCTAAATTTTATTTTCGTCACAAAACAATTTCCCGCCCTTGGAGAATTTGGCGGAAGATTAGGTGCCATTTTGGAGACGAAATTTTTCGTCACCATTGTAAAAAAATTTAGAGAGGAAATAATTTCGTCTCAAAATGTATTATTTTTAGAGGGAAAAATCTACAATGTGCACCTTATAAAAGGGCATATGATATGCACTTATTCTATGGCCCATATCGTGCCACATCATAAACAATGACCTGCTAAACCGGTCATGTAACAGGTTACAGAAAGAATCATAACATTCATTGTAATATCATAACAATATTACAATGAATCATAACAATGTCATAATATTCACCAAAGTGTCATAACAAAGACACTATAAATCATAACAATATAATAATAACTCATAACAAATATAGTTATTTGTAATTAATTATCATAACATTTGAATCGTAACATTTTTTATTGTGATTCACCATGGCAAATCATAACTTTTGGTGGTACAAATCATAACTTTTAGTGACGATTCATAACCATAACACATTGAGTATAACTTTTTTTCCCATAATCATAACGACATTAACAAATTATCATAACTTTTATCAATGAATCATAACATGGCATGTTGATTATAATTTTGTCCCAAAAATCATAACAACATTAACAAAACATCATAACTTTTAAATTTTCAAACACAATTGATTGTGTAATCAATTGGTATAGCATATTGGAGTGAATGGAAAATCGTAATTGATTGCAAAATCGATTGGATTGAAAGACCACAATTGATTATACAATCGATTAGTGGCTAGAGTTTTGAACTTTCACAATTGATTGTACAATCCATTAGAATATAAGGGAGATTGAAATATGACAATTGATTGTACAATTGATTGTAGGGATCCTTCATATAATAAACCTAATTGATTCAGTAATCAATTAGTTTTCATAAGCCACACTAAACCAATTAATTCCCAACTTATTCATAGTTCCCAATGAATTAGTAAAAGCCTAATCATTAATATCAATTTAGTCAATATTCGAATAGTAATTGACCGGTTTATCGGTTGCCATTTATATGTAATTTTGTTCTGTAGTTTTAAACTTAACTCAATCTAATAATTTCATCAACGCTTTTCCTTTCTAGATTAGCTTCACTGGCATTATCCAGATTTTCCTTCATTTTTCTCAGATTTACTGGTGCAGGCTTCATTGCAATGTATGCTACACTTGCCAGCCGAGATGTGGACTGTTGTTTGATTCCAGAATCACCCTTCACCAACCTTTTTGGTCGTGGACTTTTTGAATACGTGGAAAAAACGCTCAAAGAAAATGGGCACATGGTTATTGTGATAGCTGAAGGAGCCGGACAGGAGTTCCTTTCAGGGAGCTTGCAGCCTGGGGAAGAGAGAGATCCTTCTGGGAACAGGCAACTCCAAGATGTTGGGTTGTGGATTTCTAATAGGATCAAGGTACTGGTTATAGTTATTTTTCCTAAACTTCGCATCTTATACCTCTCAATTTACGTTCTCAGTTTGTAAACATGCAGATGTTCTTCATGACCACAAGTGTAAAATTACATGGCTATCTAATGGAAATGGATAATTCATTGATGAATTTAGTTTTATGATATTTTGTGATGTCTTTGTTTTCTATAAGATGAGCATTCCCAAGTGATAATATAACAGGTTCGTGTTGTCGCTTACTGGTTCTTTCCTGTTTTGTAGGAACATTTTGCAAAACGAAATAAGATGGTTCTTACTCTTAAATATATAGGTCAGTAACCTCTCACTTCCCGTTCTTGTTTGTCTTATGTTTCTTCTTGAACTGAACTTGGAGAAATTATCAAACAGAGTGCTGCGAAGGGAAATAACAAGATTTGGACCTGATCAATTTTTCTGACAAATCCTACATACATGATCCGGGCTATTCGAAGCAATGTAGCTGACAATGTGTATTGTACACTCATTGCTCAGAGTGCTGTTCATGGAGCTATGGCCGGGTACACAGGCTACACAAGTGGGCTTGTTAATGGCAGACAAACTTATATTCCTTTCTATGTAAGTTCTTCCAGATCCTATAGTTAGTTCTATGATTGCACTCTGTTAATAATAAGGGGTATTGTCTGTGAAGCTCTTGTAGTTACTCGGAGAAGAATAGGAAAGAAGTAAAGGGTATGGTATGGAATCCAACTCCAATCATAATTGTAATCCCAGATTAATGCTGTTTGTTACGAAGTAATAATGCCCAATCAAAAATGGATAGCTAATTATTATTATTATTATTTTTTTTTTATTTTATCAAATCTTAATTGCCAAAAGACGACAGCTAAAATTTTATTGATGTCAATTTGTGAACTTCCTGTGAGCCAATTTGTTTTGATTTATGAAACATTGAGCCCACTTGAAAGGATCAGATGCTTTCTGGTTATTTGAATCTGTTGCAGCCTCCCTTCCTTAATAGTCACAAGAATGTGCTTAGACCTCTATCAGCACCTTTTTCTTCTTATTCTTCTTCTTATGTCTATGACAGTTGGTATTATATATTATCTATGAAGTGGAGCATTCTGTAAGGAGGATCTTGATGCAACTGAATAAAAGAATAACTGGTATCTATTGTTGCACAAGCTACTCACAGAAATGGGAAAACTTGATGCCCTGATTATATAAAGCAGATACCTTCATTTCTACTTTGATTCATTTGGTATTATTTCTTCTAAGTCAATTATAAACCTTGTTTTGATGATTTCTAAATGATCAATACAAGATCGATAATTAACATTTGACTATACCCCTTTTTACTTATATTTAATCCCAATATTCATGCATTACTTGTTATATTTTATCCATTGCTATATAGTTAGATTTCTTTGGTAGAAGTGATGAGTCATGCTAATTAAAGTTCTACGAGTTTCTTTTTGCTCATAGTTGTCCAATACTATCAACTATAAAATTGCTGGTAACATTAATTTGCTATATTCATGTAAAATTAAAATTGCTGGAATCATTTTTTAATCAGAATTGGCTTGTTTGTTTATGATGGAGTTTGTGCATAAATGAGTGGTGCCAAATTTATTTATTTTGGAATATTTGTTTTAATATATGTATCTTGTGAAATTTGGAAATATCTTATTTCAAAATGAAAACTAGTTAATATTGAAGTTCACTACATTTGTGATCTTGAAAGGGCAAGTTTTTGATACGTATTTATCTTTTTTGAAGATGCAAACTACATGTACTGATTTTTGACTTTAGATTGTGACATTTATCTCCACGTTAAACTTTCAGATGAGTCCATTCAATAGCTTGCCTTGTGCTATTCTTGATCGATCAAGATACTTGAAGAAAATGTGTCATAATTGTGTTGATCAGGAAGTTTTTCCCATTGCATCAATAGTTGTTATATCCTTAGAGTTTATGCATTTATTCTTGTTACATTTATTCATTTATTCTGATTAGATTAAGGTAATGATATGATTAGATTAGAAGGCCTTAACTAGATTAAGGTAAAAAGCAGATATGATTAGATTAAGGTAAAGAGATATGATTAGATATTAATCTAGTCAAGGTCTTCAGCAGATATGTAGACCTTGACTAGATTAGATTAAGGTAAAGATAAAAAAGGGATTGAATTGGGTTAACTTAGTAGTCATTTTGTTTGATAGTTAAGCTACCTTAATTTATGTTTCAATTTTTTATTTTCTGAATTGGTGATGATCTGAGTTGCTGCTGTGAAGTTGTTGCTGTTGCTTGTGATATTGCTGCTGTAGCTATGGTTTCTGTGCTGATGTGTAGTTCAGTAGTAGAATTGGGTTTCTGATATTTATGCTGCTGCTGGATCTGTTGATAGTGATTGTGTCCTTGCTTGCTGGGTGGAACTTCATTATGGTCAGGGTTTGAATTGGTTTAACTTAGAAGTCAATTTGTTAGATAGTTAAGCAACCTTAACTATCTAAATTGGTGATGATCTGAGTTGCTGCTGTGAAGTTGTGGTTTCTGTTCTGATGTGTAGTTTAGGAGTAGAATTGGGCTTTTAAGTCCTCTGGGCTGTGCTGCTATCCTGTGGAACACTAAATGATCTGGTGACTGCCAGTCAGTACTACTGTGAAGACTAGAGGAGATTGATGGAGGTTTGTTCACTTCTGTAGAGTTGATTAATTACTTTAGAGTACGCGTGTCCCCGCCGTGTCCCTGCCGTGTCCCCTTCCAAAAAAATTATTAAATTAAAGGGACACGCCATCTGGCGTGTCCCGTACGTGTCCCCGGCGTGTCCCCGTGTCCCCGGCGTGTCCGCGTGTCGGACACTGCCACGGCACCATTTTTGGAGTGTCCATGCTTCACACTTCATTTGTGATCTTGAAAGGGCAAGTTTTTGATACGTATTTATCTTTTTTGAAGATGCAAACTACATGTACTGATTTTTGACTTCAGATTGTGACATTTATCTCCACTTTAAACTTTCAGATGAGTCCATTCAATAGCTCGCCTTGTGCTATTCTTGATCGATCAAGATACTTGAAGAAAATGTGTCATAATTGTGTTGATCAGGAAGTTTTTCCCATTGCATCAATAGTTGTTATAACCTTAGAGTTTATGCATTTATTCTTGTTACATTTATTCATTTATTCTGATTAGATTAAGGTAATGATATGATTAGATTAAGGTAAATAGATATGATTAGATATTAATTCTAGGTTGTTGCATTATTCAGTCCATGATATGGTTGAGAATCTGGATCAGGTTCGTAGGTGTGTGGGGGGTAGGTGATTGTGTCCTTGCTTTCTGGGTGGAATTTCATTATGGTCAGGGATTGAATTAGGTTAACTTAGTAGTCATTTTGTTTGATAGTTAAGCTACCTTAATTTATGTTTCAATTTTTTATTTTCTGAATTGGTGATGATCTGAGTTGCTGCTGTGAAGTTGTTGCTTTTGCTTGTGATATTGCTGCTGTAGCTATGGTTTCTGTGCTGATGTGTAGTTCAGTAGTAGAATTGGGTTTCTGATATTTATGCTGCTGCTGGATCTGTTGATAGTGATTGTGTCCTTGCTTGCTGGGTGGAACTTCATTATGGTCAGGGTTTGAATTGGTTTAACTTAGAAGTCAATTTGTTAGATAGTTAAGCAACCTTAACTATCTAAATTGGTGATGATCTGAGTTGCTGCTGTGAAGTTGTGGTTTCTGTTCTGATGTGTAGTTCAGGAGTAGAATTGGGCTTTTAAGTCCTCTGGGCTGTGCTGCTATCCTGTGGAACACTAAATGATCTGGTGACTGCTAGTTAGTACTACTGTGAAGACTAGAGGAGATTCATGGAGGTTTGTTCACTTCTGTAGAGTTGATTAATTACTTTAGAGTTTAGGGCACCAAACCAAACAACTTGTTTGTTAAGAAGAACATAAATACATGTTTACATTAGATTTGGCTGCTGAGAGACTACAGTAATTGACTCTGTTCTATGGGTCAGGAAAATAATTCACTTGTTGCACATTTTTAATATAAGACATTGTTCTAAATAATCTTTCAGTATAAGACAGTAATTAACTCTGTTCTAAACAGTTGAGACAATGCTTTGTGAGTTGAATGTGCTTTTCCAAACATACTAAACATGTAAAACCATTAGACTGTAAGTGGTCTCTTTTGTGTTTTTCTTTAGCTGCTATCATGTGTGAACTATTGAAGACATTTTCCATAAATTGGCCAAATCTTTTTGCAGGCTGAAGGTGATGATGATGAAACTGACAAAGATGCTGATATTACAGAAGAGAGTGCACATGTAGGATTTCTTTGTACGTTTAATTGTTTAAAAATATCAATTCCACAAAGGATCCACTTTGATATATCTTGTTTGTTGCTTTGTATTTGCAGGATGAGTTGTAGGGAGGGAGAGCACCATTGTGGTTTTCTGCTGACAATTCACTCTCTCGAGATCTCTCAATTTTTTTCTTGCTTAGTTTATTTGTAGCTTTTAGTTTTGTTTGTGTTTTAGGGAAAGAAACATTGGTGGCTGCATAGCAAGCAAGAACTGTGGCTAATTGTTTTAATCTCATTTGACTCACCTGAGGAATTGAATCAGTAGTTGTTGGGTTTACCACTGTATGGAACGTCACTTGTGCCATTCCTTGAATTTATGTGCTATGTTATTGCCTATTGGGAAATTAGAAAGTAAGAAAATATTTAATGATTCAGTTAATTTGAATGATGCTTTAAAATTATTGGTTTATTACGGATTGAATGAATTATTAGGAATTACAGGTGTATTGTTTTCCTGCTTTGGCGACCAATTTATTAGTCGCGACAAATAAATAATTTTTTTATCTCGTTTAATATTTGAATTATGTCTTGTGTCGAATGTTAATGATTCAGTTAATTTGAGTGATGCTTTAAAATTATAGGTTTATTATGGATTGAATGAATTATTAGGAATTATAGGTGTATTGTTTTCCTGCTTTGGCGATCAATTTATTTGTCGCGACTAATATATAATTTTTTTCACAAAAAATGACAATTGCCGACCAACAGTTTTGGTCGCAAAAATACATTTATTGTCGACCAAACAGCTCTTGGTCGTAGAATCTCACTTTTGTCGACCAAAAGTTTTGGTCGCGAAAAGTAACAAATGGCGATCAAATTTTTTGGTCGTGGAATGTCACAATTGGCGACCAAACTTTTTGGTCGTTGAATGTGATAATTGGCGACCAAACTTTTTGGTCGCGAAATGTGTCAATTGGCGACTAAGATATTTGGTCAGGAAAATATCACTTTTCGCGACCAAAGTGTTTTAGCGACAAAATGAATTAGTCGCGGTAATTGAATATTTAGCGACCAAAAATTTAGTCGGCAAATCCAACTTTTGCCGACCAACCAAAATTTTGGTCGCGAATTACTTTTGCCGACCCTCAATTGGCGACCAAAGTAGCGACCAAAAAAATTGGTCGCGGATAACTTTTGCCGACCAAAAATGGACTTTTAGCGACCACTTTTTTTGTTGCCAAAAGTGTTAATTCTTGTAGTGGATGTACATTATAAAAAAATTATGTATTTTTATTTATATATCATTACTCTGTTAAAATATTTCTTTTTTAGGTTTGTTTTGTTGTTTATAAAGCATATTCTTTTCTTCTATAAATTCAAGATGATAAGAGTAAGAGGGCTGTGGTTTTAACGAATTGATTGCTTTAATTTTATTATCTACTTTTAAATATTGCAACCAAATAGTTCAAGCATTTTCAGGCCATGGTTGAAAGAGAAACATGGTAGAAATTGAAGTGCATCCGATCAGACAATGGTAATGAATACATTGGACCATTTTATGAGTATTGTCGTAGCCAAGGTATTCGGCACCAAAAGATAGTTAAGAAGACTCCTCAACAAAATGGCGTTGCCGAGAGGATGAACCACACCATTGTGGAAAGAACATGATGTTTGCTTTTACAAGCTAAATTGCCAAGATCCTTTTGGGGTGAGGCAATGAAGACAGCAGTTGACGTGATCAATTTGTCTCCTTCCTATACTTTGAATGGTGATGTTCCAGAAAAAGTTTGGTCCGGTAAAGATGTGTCTTATGAGCACTTGAGAGTGTTTGGTTGCCGAGCTTTTGTTCACATTTCAAAGGATGAGAGGTCCAAACTTGATAGTAAGTCAAGACAATGTATTTTTCTTGGCTATGGACGTGATGAGTTTGGTTATAGATTGTGAGATCCGGTCGACAAGAAAGTTATTCGAAGCCATGATGTTGTGTTTCTTGAAGACCAAACAATTGAAGACTTTGGCAAAGGTAATCAACCGAAACCAAAAACTAGTGATCTCATTAGCATGGATCCATTTCCTTCATCTTCAGTTGATGATGAAAATGAGGAAGATGTGCAGCCACCTATTGAAGATGTAGAGCATGACGTTAATCCTAATGAAGTTGAGCTAGAAATTACGGAAGAGCATCCAACTCAAGAACCGCCACCACAACTTGAGTTGAGAAAATCTACAAGGGACCGAAAACCTTCAAGAAAGTATCCTCCTAATGAATTTGTGTTGATTCCTGATCAAAGGGAACCCGAGAGCTACCAAAAAGCAATTAAGCACGCAAAGAAAGATAATTGGAAAAAGGCTATGGAAGAGGAGATGAATTCCTTACTTGAAAGTCACACTTATGATTTAGTGAAGTTGCCTAAAGGGAGGAAAATTCTGAAAAATAAGTGGGTTTTCAAATTGAAGAACGATAGCAAAAATCTGAGGTACAAAGCACATCTTGTTGTGAAGGCTTTGGGCAAAAGAAAGGCATTGACTTTGATGAGATTTTGTCACCAATTGTGAAGATGTCTTCTATTCGGGTTGTACTTGACATGGCTGCAAGTATGAACCTTGAAGTTGAGCAACTTGATGTGAAGACCGCATTTCTTCATGGTGACCTTGAAGAAAAAATTTACATGGAGCAACCGGAAGGTTTTGTAAAGAAAGGGAAAGAAAAATTTATTTGCAAATTGAAGAAAAGTTTGTATGGCCTCAAGCCAGTTCCACGGCAATGGTACAAAAAATTTTACTCTTTCATGATGAATAATGGTTTTTCTAAAACCACTTCAAACCACTGTGTGTTTGTGAAAAAATTTTCAAATGGTAAATTTATTATTCTTTTACTTTATGTTGATGACATGTTAATTATGGGTCAAGATTCTACCATGATAAACAGGTTGAAATTGAAGTTGAACAAGTCTTTTACTATGAAAGATTTGGGACCGGCAAAGCAAATACTTGGTATGAAAATTGTTCATGATCGCAAAGAGGGGCTGATTTGGTTGTCTCAAGAAAGCTACGTTGAAAAAGTTCTTGAGAGGTTCAACATGAATAAAGCAAAGCCGGTTGGTTGTCCACTTGCGGGTCACTTCAAGTTTAGTTCAAATCAATGTCCTACAAGTGAGAAAGACAAAGAAGAGATGCTGAAAATTCCTTATGCTTCAGCAGTTGGTTCTTTGATGTACACCATCTTTCCCATTTGATTATTATATCCGGTCTGTTCCGTAGATTCTGTCATTGTATAATTGTTGTTGTTGTTGTTCCTTATTTTCTCATTTGGAATTATAGGATGTGTTGGGCAGGTTTGTTCAGGTTGGTTGGGTTTAGAAACCAAGTGTTGCTGTCACGACCCGAACCCGCCCCCGTGGTTTAAGGACGTAACCGGCCGGTAATCATGAGATTACCTACGGCCTCAGACTGTTCTAAACGTATTTTAACAGAGTTAATGGGGGCCAAACGGAAGCAAAATTAAAAACTTTGTCCATAGAGCCGTGCTTATATGCACATCAAACAAACCATACTCAGATACGTTAATAACTCACATCAAAAGTACAGCTTCACAAAATTCATTACAGACAGGATCATCCAAAACGAGTCAACCTATAACAGACTATGTACAGACATGCACTAGGTCCTTGCCAACAAGACAAAACATAGGTACATAGTAAAAGGGCAAGGATGGTCTCATGCGCGAGGCACAAGGCTGACTCTCCCAAAACTCCTGTTGTTCCTAGCAGACTTCACTGGGGCTGGGTTTGGACTTCCCTTAGCTCACCTACAAATACATGAATGAGCGTGAGCAATAGCCCAGTGAATAATATCAAATATAACAATTACA